AGCTGCCCTCAGCCTTTTCAGCCATACCCACTCAATCAGTTCTGGGTGGGGAAAGAAAGAAGTAGACCTCTTGTGCAGAGTCCTACATAGCTGGAGAAGCCAGGCACTCACTATACTCTTACTCCCCAACCATGGGTGAAATCATAGGCTGAGGGGGTCTCTCTTGGCACTGAGCTATGCTACCTTGGGAAGGGGTGATGTGGGTAAAGTGAAACTGTTTGTTTTACACTTTCAGCAAGATGCAGAGACCTCTCCACTTGACTCTCAGGCTCTTATCCATGGACGGTTGCCAAACTCAGTGTTTCTGTGAGGGTACAGGGGCTGAAAATTACTATTCTGCCAACTTGCTGACATCCTCAATGCTTGACATGCTGAATCGCATCTCATTCTCACAAATAAAGACCTTAGGTGGCGAAGATTAACATCCCCATCCTATGGATGAATATGCTGAGGCTCAAAGCAATCAAGCAATTTGCCCTAAGTTACATAATGAAGTAAGTGATGGATGAAATGGAACCCAAATTGAAATTACAGCCTCGAGCTTAAGCTCTTAATTACTATACCACAAAGTTGACCTAGTACACTTTATAATGGTGAAGTAAGGGCCAGCAATAAAACAAACGGCCTACTTTTATAAATGAAAATAATATAAATAATAATATAATATAAAAATAATAAATCTTTATCTTGTAGTTTTGTCATCTTTACATATGGATACTATCCTCATTTGTGGTTTTTACTAAGGAATACCAAGAGATTTCTAGTCAAATCTACCTAAGTATTGTACTTTAACTCTGTTTAACTAGAACCTACCACTCAAAAAAAAAAAAAAAAAGAAAGAAAGAAAGAAAACCAGAAAGCATCTAAAGTCAGTGACCTACAGGGTATTCTAGGGAAGGAAATTAAAATGCCATTTCAATGCAAAATAAATTTGAATTTATAATCTCAGATATTTCAATCTGTTCTTTTAGAGCTTGGCAGTATTACAAATTTATTGGCATCCTTTTTAAGAAAAATACTGCTGTGGGAAATGTGATTGGATTTATTTTTACACAGCCATGCCCCTACCGACCCTATTTAGAAGAGGCCAATCTTCAGAGATATTTCCTTTTTTATAACTTAAAAAAGATCAGAATAATTTTCCTCCTTTTTCCAAAAAAAAAGTTTTCCAATGCATTTTAATAAGGCTCAAATTGTCTGTGTGCCTTCCCTCAAGTTATCCATTTTTAATTGTCTTTGGATCTTGGCATCTTGATGCCATGGATAGGAATTGTGGCTCTGTTTTGCCAGTCTTCCCCACCCCCTTCCTCGTATGTTCACTGAAATAGGCTTAGAAGCCATCTGCAACTCTGTGTGGAGGCAGGCTAAATGTCAGTCCTCCCATGGGCTCCAAACAGAAGAGAGCTCCACAAGACCTGCCCGTCTCGCACCCAAACTGCTGAGTCCCTTGCCTTGGTGTTTTTTTTTTTCCTATTAATATTTCAGCACTTGGGTTGCATGAGTTTAAGAAGCACTTTTTTCTCAGTAGGGAGTAGAAGACAAGCTCTAGTGAAGAGGATCTTTTTCTCATAGACAGAGAACTGATATTTAGATCTGACTAAAGAGAAAAGCCTCCACTGCTTACAGGGAGTAGGTGTTCATGTTAAACTTTAAGAAAGCCAAGAAAGAAAGAGGAGAAAAGTATAGGTTGGTTGGATATTGACTAGAAGGGAAGAATAAAAAGGAACAAAGGAGATGATAAAGACAAAGGCTAAAGTAGAGAAGGTTGGGAAGGGAGGAAGCTTTGGGAAGAGGAATGAAGAAAGAAGAAAAAATTGTAGGTCCTATGTTCAGCACTGAGGTTGTAATAGTAGAGAAATCTACTATAGGAAGGAAAGATTGGGAGGAGGAGATATGGAGGGAGGAAGAAATGAAAATACCTGCAATGCCTACTGTATACTAGGCATGTGTTTGGAGCTTTGATATCTTTTCTCTTTCTATCTTTACCACAACCGTATTAAGTGCATATAAAGAAAGTTGCCTAAATTTCAAAACTAATAGCAGAATCCACCCTTACTGGCCATTAATTCATGAAGCAAACATTTGTTGAGCATCTTTTGAAGAGGAGCCACATGCTGTGTCAGTTTTCCAAGTGAGTGATGCTTGTCAGAACCTCACAATGAAATAGAAGAGATTTATTTAACAATAAGAGGAAGACTAGCCACAGGTTGACTTGACAGGGCTCAGAATCTGGAAAAGTCCATAATGATACAAACCAGTCTCTGAGTTTCAGGATCAAATTAGAAGCTGGAGTTCATCATAGGTTGCTGGAAAGGCTCTAAACTCTTTAGACTGTTGGTGGAAGGTCCTTGGATATAGAATTCATGTGTTCTTCAGTTTTACCCCAGATTGGAAGAGTTTGCCTGAGGTGAATGCATCCCACATATGGTAGGGTCAGTCTTGAAAAGATCTAGGGCCAGAATATTGCAAGTGAAGGAATCACAAGGACAAGTCTCTAAGGCTTGTCATTTGTCAACAGAGAGAAAAGGCCAGAATGGCTGAACCCAAGAGTGGAGGGAAGAATCAGAAGGTAATCAAGGGTTGTAAATTGTGGCAAAAATTTTAGATTTTATTCTACAGGTAAAAAGAAACCATGGAGCATTTTAAAGCAGGGGACTGATGTGATCTGATTATGTATTGCAAGGATTATTTAGGGAGGTAAGGAGAAGGGTAGATGGACAACAAAGGAGATAAGAGACCAGTTAGTAGACTAATTCAGTAACTTGGGTAATAAAAGATGATGACTAAACTAGATGGTAACAATGGACATGAAAAGAAGAGGTCCAGATTAAAAATATTAATATATTGTACTGACATTAATATTAATATATTATACTGACATATTGTACTGACATTGGACTATCTAACCAATTAGATGTGGTAGGGAGGGAAAAATAGAAAGATAAGGATGATTTCTGTTTCTAGTTTGGCCAACACATTAGAAAGTGATTTATTTACAAAGGCCTAGAAAAGTAGGTAAGAAAAGAATTTTTCGTTGTTATTGCTAAGGATGCTGGCATGTAGAAACAGTAGTTCTTTCTCAGATCTTTTAGTTTTAAGACATATGTTAAATATACAAGTGAAGAACTCTAGTAGACAGTTGGATAGATAAGTCAAGATTTAATGAAGAAATCAGAGCAAGAGGCACAATTGGCCAGTCTACAGCATATACAGGAAGGATAGCATAAAAACAAAGAAGAAGAGACCACGATCTAAGGCATGATGTATTCCAATGTCTATAATAATAGGCAGAATGGAGAAGATGGAGCCAGCTCAAAAGTCAGAAGAAAATTAGGAGAGTGTGGTGTCAGGAAAGGCAAGAAAAGAGTGTTCCTATAAGAAGGGAGTGGTCAGATGGGCTTTATACTGCTTAGAAGTCCTATAAAATGAGAACAAAATGTAACTATTGAATTTGGCCAGATGGAGATCACTGGTGATCTTCAGAAGAGCAGTTTCAATGGTGTGTTTAGTGTGGAAGCCTGATTTGAATAGTTTGAGGAAGGAAATAGAGGAGAATAATTAGAGGCAGGAAAACTAAAAAAAAACCTGTATGAAACAGAGCAGAAAAAATGAGGCAGTTCTTTGTGATGGACCTGGAATCAAGAGAGTATGTTTAGCTCCCCTCATAATGCAAAAAGCTATAGGTTAGATTTTCCTAAGATAAAAATACATGTGCAAGTAATTGATGAAGAAGGAGTTTTCAGGGATACTAGTAAGGGAGTAGGGGGAATAGAATAGGGCCAGAAGCCCAGCCAGGGTGAGATCCCTGGCAAAGTCCTGCTGGCAGTAGCTCCAGGTTGATGCCTCAAAAGAACTGTACAGTGTAAGTTACCGGCAGAGCTCCCCTGGCCTGAGGCACGGGGAGTGGGTTTTCACAGTCCTGGCCCCTACCCATTTAGAAGTAAATCCCAGGCGCTCCCAGATCTCTGAGAGGACATTAGAAGTGAAAGCACACTCAAAAGGAATCACAGGGGATCTGGGAAGAGCACGGTTTAAGAGATTGATCTCCTTTCCTGAAAGATATTTCAGTGCAGACATAGCAATTCCCTTTGGGGCACCTGTTTATGTGATGCAACATAGATTTTCATTCAAAAGATATTTTTTGAGCACCTACTGTCTGCTTGACATGAATCTGTGCTGCTGTATAGTGTGATTTGCAGCAAGCGATGGGATTTGGGGCCTTTCTGCACTAAGCTGTGTGGTTTTCTTAATGGACAAGTTTACATATAAACTTATATACAATCCAAAGATGAAAATTTACAAGTACTAAAGGGCTTTAATCATCTTTTCAATATCCATTCAATGATACCATTTTCAACCTCAAGCCCTGAGTACCTACCTGAAGTTCAGTTAAAAAAAAAAAAAGTGGTTTTCTTCCTGCCTCTGAACAGAAATAAAGATTTTTCAATTCAAACTCTGATGATAATTTAGTTGTTGGCATGAGTGAGATAATGGATTCCTCCTCTCCCACTGTTCTATTGATGGAAAAAGAATATAGTTAATAACTATCACTTGCAGGAAGTAGACAAAAGGATTATGCAGTCAGATTTTATATACCCTCAGATATACATTATGTGAATGACAACAAAAAAATATCTTCAATCCCCAATGTTGTCCATTCTGTTTGGTGCTGAGACTGCAAAGATAAGGTATATCACCTGCCTTTAAGAAGCTACAAAAAATACAAAGATAATACAGAAGTATGTAGTCCTAGAAACATCAATCTCAAACTACATGAATCCATCCCCATTTTTCTTCTATCCGGAGGAAATTGCTCATTAGCATTTTGTGACATAAAAATTTCTTATTTTTTGGTACCTCCTTCCTTCACCATAGCCAAGACTGTTGCTTTATTTAAAATCTAATTTCCTTGAACAAGTTGTTCCAGCTGATCATAGAAGACCAGTAAGAAGCCCCCAAACAGTCCCAGCCTACCTTGAGATCCATCTCCATAAACATACCTGTTTTTTTCTGGGGCAGCTCAGATCAAGCAATGTGGCAATCTTCTCCTTTGGTCAGTTTCTAGACAGCCTCAAAATATCCTTATATGACTGGGTGTCTCATTGCAGGGAGGTGTTGTGGACATGAGTCAGTGAAAGGATGTGTCTATCTCGTAGTTAGTGGAAAAATATGTCCCAGCATTGGTCAAAGCTGGGACAGGAAGTCTTCTCCATCTCACAAGCATCGTGGAGCTCCTTTAGTGACATCATCATGTGCCACCAGAGGGCGGCACTTTGGGACTGAGGCAAGCATCACAGGCTGCTCAGTGTGTTGGCAGCTGTCTTAGCTTCCTAGGGCTGCCATAAGTACCACAGGCTGGATGGCTTACTTACACAACAAAAATTTGTTATCTCACAGCTCTGGAGGCTAGAAGTCCAAATTCAAGATGCTGGCAGGGTTGGTTCCTTTTGAGTTGTGAGAGGGCTGAAAATCTGTTTCATACTTCTAGTTTCTGCAGCCTCAGGCATTCCTTGGCTTTGAGACAGCATTCTCCCTTGTCTTCACATTGTCTTCCCTCTACATGTGTGTGTCTCTGTGTCTGAATTTCCCCTTTCTCATAAGGACATCAATGATATTGGATAAGGGCCCACACCAATGAGCTCATCTTTATTTGATTATCTGCAAAGACTGTATTTCCAAATAAGGTTGCAGTCACAAGTTTCAGGAGTTAGGACTTCAACATCTTTGGGGGGAAAAAATTCAGTCCCTAACAGTAACTGAGAGCTCACAGCTACAACCCCTCCTGAAATTGCCTTCAGCTGAAGAGAGCCACCTCACCCAAGTCATGCCCCTTCCTCGAGTCAACTTGCATCCTATAATTGTTCAGTGAGGGAACTATGAAGGTCTGTACCCCCTGCCCTGATTCAGGACCATTCTGCAGGGATACCCCAGCTCCTAAATTCCATATAGTTGGCAGAGGCCTCTGCCTGGTCCTCTTCCTTCATTTGCCCTATAGACACTACTAGAGAGCATACCCCAATAAACTCCTGCAGACAAATAACCAAATCATAGGCTGCTCCCCAAGTCATGCCACTTGGGGCAGTGCTTCTCTGAGCTTGCACTGCACCAGATGCTGGAGAATCAAAGACAGCAAGACACAGCCTGACCTTCAAGACATTCATCAGTATCAGAGACATTCTCAGGCTAGAAAGAAAGGCTGCCCTCACACACAGCCTGCCTTTGGGGCCTCCACATCCTATTGTGTGACTTGTCCCACTTATTTGCTCCTCTCCCACATTGAAACCAATTATCATATTCTTCTTCTTCCCTTCATGAAGTTTGCTTCCAGAATGGAAAAATAAAGAAGTCAATTATTGTCTATTAAGTACAACTATGAACTATGAGCTAGACATCTTATATATGTGATCTCATTTAATTCTCCTAACAACCCCATTGCCTTCATATTACAAATAGAGAAACAGAGACTCTAAGAGGATCTATAAAGGCCCAGCTCATGTGGCTTATAACAGACCCAACAAAAATAAAACCCAGGGGCTTCTGATTCTAAAGCCTGTGCTCTTTCTATCACACCAGTGGTTCCCAGGCTTATATTACACAGGCCAGTAAATTAAAAACAAACAAAAAATTGGCAAACAAAAGTAGAGCTAGCAACTTCGGATCTTGCCAGGGACATTAAAAAGTAAAAGCTTCAATCTACTATCACCACCATTTCATATTAAAAGGGACATTTCAACCCATAAAATTTTGCAAATATCAAATCTCCAAACAGAGGATTAGTACTCACAATTTAATGAATTTAGCTTCATGGAAAATATACCACTTTGCCCTTTATTTTACTCATTTTGTCACAGATTTGTGAAAATTTTTGCAAGAACTAGTACAGATCTTGAAGGAAAAAAAAAAAAGAAGAAGAAGAAGAAAAAGCTTGGAAATCATCCTTAAATGATCTGGGTTTTATTCACACTAAAATATAAATGACCTCTCCAGATTATTTAGTAAAATATCTTGGGTATAGCAGGGGGTGTATCTAAGTTAGCTTTGATATGATCAAACATAATTAAGGACACTACATGCGAATGCTACATTTCAAGCAACAAAGTGAAAGCAAAGGGAAATCATATTTTACAAATTGGCTATTTTTTCCCCACATCCCAGATCTCTCTCAGAACTCAAGTGCTGGCAAGGATCCAGTTTCCACTCAGAAGGTTTTGCTTTGGCCCTACCCGTTCACATTTGAATTCCCCTTGAAAGTTACATTCAACTATTTTTATTTTGCCATCAGTTACCTCTGGCAGAAAACAATAGTTAAAATTCACAGGTTAATAACTGAAAGCTTGTAAAATGCCAGCGCGGGGCTTGAAATGTATACATTCTATAGTCATGCTGCACATGCTTTCAAATTATTTGAGGGAAGTATAATGAGGTGATATATTCCAGTAGTGGTAACAAATATGTCTGGTGCAGAAGTACTGACTTACATCTATAAGCATCCTTCATCCAGAGGGCTCCCAAAGCACCTTCTAGACGATGTAGGGATCAGCCGCCCACCAGTGAAAGGCAGATGCCTCCGAGGCGAAAAACCTTGTGTCTGAGGTTTCAGTAGCGCAGAGAGCACACTGCAGCATGACATGGGGCGAGGCTTTAATTCCCCAAGTATTACAGATTTAGAACTGACGTGAGGCATTTCGTTTGAAGAACAGAAGTATTTTAAGAAGGCTGAGTGCAATTTTGAAGTGGCAATCATTCCTCACAGGCAGCTTGTCATCGTCAAAAGAAATGAAGCCTCCAGGTTTCATGAGAGCCAAAGTTTGAATCCCAGCTCTACTTCTTATCCAGCTGGGTGAGCACAACCATGGCCCATTGCCTCTTTGCAAAAGCGGGGAGGGCAATGGTCTTTCTCCACCAGCTTGCTGTGAAAATTGACTGTGAGACTGCACCCAGTAAGTGACGGTTGTTGTCATTATTTTGTCTTTAAAATGGGAACATCGTGGACCTCAAAGTGTTGTGAGAATATTGAAAATAACCGTAAAGAACATTTAGTGAGTAGTTTTTATGTGCCAGGGAGTGTGCTCAGTGCTTTGTGCATATTATCTCATTGTGTCCTCACAATAAACTTATTATTTTAGAGATCTAGCAACTGAGAGAGAAAGTGTCTTGTCCAAGGGTGCTGCATAGTTTACAAGTGGCAGTATTCAAATGTTTAAGCATGTGGTTGAGACCAAACAAATGGTATCTAGTTGATCCCTTTAGAGAATGACTTGGAATGCCCACGCCATCTCTTGCAAATTATTCTGAATGTACTTAAAGTGAAAGCTCACACTATACCCCTTTAATCTGTCCTTTCCCAGAATAGCTCCTTCAATTCCATTCAATGCACCAAACCATTATGGAGCTCCTGCAGAGTGCAAAGACTGTTCTAGGCACTGCAGGCAGACAAATGTTTTCAAGATGCAGATCCAGTCCTGTCTTATAACAAGACCACAATCATAACTAATTATCAAGCAGGTTAGCCTGTGATAAGCATTATAAAAGAAGGATTAGTAAAATTGTATGCACTCAGTAGAAAAAGTCATTAATGCTGCTCAGGAGGAGAGGGCCATTTGCAGAAAGAAGGGGCATCTGAGTGAGCCTCAAACACAGTCCCTTCTAGGCTATCCTTGGTGGAATGTCAGTTCTTTAGGGCTAAGCATCCCTCTTCCAAAATGCAAATACTTCTTTCTGGAAGAGGAAGGCATTACATCTCTTATGCAATAATCTTTTAAGATCATTGTAAGCTGTGTAATATCAGCACACTAGACCTTCAGAGCAGAGGAGCAGCAGGGCGAGAAGGAAGCAAGAAGGGGCACATGGGTGACAAGCCCCAAGAATACCCTTCAACTACTTCCCCAGTGTGCAGACTGTCAACCACCAGCAGGAGCGCCTCGCCTTCCCGAGAGGAATGGGCTGAAATACCAGAGGGAGGAATATAGTTTAGACATGTGACAGGACGTTTCCACACAGCATGTAAATTTGCAGTTCTAGAGTCCGTTTCCAGTTAGGGTTGACTGGAGCCTTTCGATTTCTGCACAGGATGCCAGAGAATAGGGAAATAGATGGCTTGGGGGCTTCTTAGCCCTCCTTGGCTTCTTTCTGCATAAAGACTGCTCTCTAAGAAATTCAGTTCCAGAGGGCAAGCAACATATCCAGAAGAAAGAAGATAGCTTTTTACTCAAAAATTTGTCTGAAGCTCTAATGTTGTTGTAGAAATCATGAGTTGAAAAAGCAAGTGAATGTGGAAGTGTGTTATCTACAGCTAGACTTTACAAATTCTTAGCTGTCTGACCTCAGCAAGTTAATTTTCCAGTCCCCAGTTTCCTTATCTGTAAAATGGGAATTATATTATCTATTTAATAGGACGGATGTAAAATAACACTCAACACCAGAATATAAATTGGATGATGGCAAGGATTCTTTTTTTTTAATTGCTGCATCCCCAGTGCCTAGAACATTGCCTAACATTTGTTTAATGAATAAGCATAGAGTAAGTGAATAAATTGATGAACAAATCAACAATAATATTTATTCAAAGCCTGCTATATGCTAGATATTGTTCTAGTAACTGGATTCCTATGAATAATAAATTTGATATCTATAAAGCTCTAGGTGCAATTCCTGGTACATAGTACATGGTAAATGTTTCTCTTTATGACATTTCAAACAAGAGCAGAGGATAACAAGGGAGAGAGTCAATTCAAGCATTACTAAGTACTCATCAGTGGCCCTACACACTCTCGCAAACATTTTGAGTTGATCTGAAGGACCCTCTATCACCCTGAATTCCAGCCGTTCTTTTTTCACCAGCTGCTGTGCTTTCACCAACAGCTTGAAATCCCTACCTCTTTCGGATTCAAGTCCTACTGAGCTTGCAAATCAAAGTGAGCCTTACTTAAAGCAAATGCTAAGCACATTGCCCATAAAAGGATTCCCCTGAAATGGCACTGATTTTCTGCCAACACATATTTTGAATAGACATATATTTTAAGCTCCTCAGGTATGTCTTTAAGTCTCCAGTGTCCATAAAAGCATTTACCAGTAATTTGCACACAGTGGGTGTCCAGGGAGTGGAGTGTTTATTAGTTGAGAGAGAGAATGCAGAAGAGGAGGAGCAAAATATGGAAAATGAAAGGAGGAGGAGAGAAGACAAGGAGGGAGAAGGCATCTTACCCTTGCTCTGTACTTGCCTGGTCCATTGAAGTGCTCTTTAAGGTGATGGTTCCTGAACATCAGGGGACAAAAGAATCATGCAGGCACTTGTTTAAAAAGCAGATTCCTGCCCTACTCCCA